TCCACTGGGGCGACTTCCTCCACTGGGGCGACTTCCTCCACTGGGGCGACTTCCTCCACTGGGGTGACTTCCTCCACTGGGGTGACTTCCTCCATTGGGGTGACTTCCTCCACTGGAGTAACTTCTTCCACTGGGGCAGCCTTCTCCGCATTGACGCTATCATCCATCCCTTCCTCCTCATGGCCATTTTTTTCTCCTTCTTCGTTTGCCTGAGGGTTATCATCGCGGTCATTTATCTCACCACCGTCATTCGTTGCGCAGTTGTTCTTATGGGGTTTTTCCTCCTCACTTTCACTGCCCTGTTTCGCCTCTTTACTGTCACTGCCTTGTTCTGCCTCTTCACTGTCACTGCCTTGTTTCGCCTCTTTACTGTCACTCCCTTGTTCTGCCTCTTTACTGACATTACCTTCTCTTTCCCCCTCACTGTCACTGCCTCCTCCGTTTCCCCCTCCGTTGTTGTCATCTGGCTTGTCGTCCTTCCCGTTGTGTCCATCTTGGGGGACCTTTCCGTTTCGATTAGCTTCCACATGTTCATTGGTTTCATCGTTCTTATTCGCCTCACCATCTACATCCACCTTCGGGTCACTCTCCTGATTGTCACGCTGCTCATCGGTATTGTTCCCGTTCCCTCTATCCACGTTAGCCTCTCCGTTCACAGGGGTATCCGCGTTGTCGGTTGCTTTCCCCCCCGGAGGAGCAGAACCCCCACCGCAGTCGTCCGAGAGATCAGTAAAATTCATGGACATACTAGACTTGCAGTAGTTGTTGTCATTTAGGAATCCATCGTAGGTCATTTCGATGGAAGGTGCCTCGTTTTTTTCACTGCGAAGAGAGTACAAATAGTTCTTTTCGCCTTGATGGTCCTCCGCCTTATAGCAATGTAACAGATCCTGCGAAGTGGGGCCCGGGTACTTCCACTGACGGGCTCTCACTTCGCTTTCTTCTAAAATGGGTTCCTGCGAAATGCAGTTGTTGCTGGGTGCAAAATTGTTATTCAATGTTAGGAACAGATGGGAATCACTTAGTTGACGTTGGTTCTTCGAATTATGGCTGCTCATGCTATTGGGGGGAAATGCCGCTTCTTCGTGATTGGGGTTATCTACAAGGAGGTTGCCATCGGGTTGGAAGCCACCTTCAAGGTTGAGGCCGCTATGATGCTGGCGGCCGCTATCATGGTGGAGGCCGCCATCTGGTTGGAACCCCATTTCGTGCCCTTCATTTTCTTCGAAAATATTCATTTTTCATTTGCGCGGGAGAGGCACTCACGCAGGAGCATTATTTTATGTGCCTATTCCTATCCGGTTTTGCAGCCCCCTCATTCAGCTAAAAATTGCTGATGTGTTCCCTCCTTTTCTGCCCCCGTTTTGCTTACTAAACCGAAGTTCCTTTTGTAGGGTGCGGGAGTGAAGTCGAATTTGGAAAAAAAAAAAAAAAAAAAGGAAAACCTTCCTACAGTTGCGCTGCCACGACGTATGTTATTTTACTTTTTTTTTCTCTTTCATGCCAATTAGACGTCAGGAGGTAGATCAATATTCTCCGCATTTCAGCACATTAGAAGGGGACATTCATGCATGCGTACGTATGTACATATACATGTGCCGAATCGCACGCAGGTGCGTTCATTTCCGTCCTTTGTAAAAAAGGGCTTCTGTTTCATCACACGAATTGTGTGGGAAAGGGAGAAAGGTAAAAGTGAATGGGAGGTTTGTATCAATGTGCTTTGTCATTATATGGTGGTCGCAAAAGAGTGATTCTCTCTTTTTTTTTTTCTTTTCGTATTTTTTATGAAAATTAATTCATACACGCAGTGAAAGAGAAACACCTCGGGAAGTACTGGAGTGATTTGTTTTGCCACTTCGTTCCTTTTGAAGGGGAAATAGGTGCACGCTTCACCACTGTGCGAAGGTGTATTCACATGGATCGCCAATGAGGGGGCGATCGTGCCGGAGAGGTGACACCTAGGAGGTAAAGCTGAACGAAGCATAGCAAAACGATAAAGCTGCCACAAACGCGCAGCAATATGCACATTCGTGTATTCGCAAAAAGCAGGTTATCTTTACCTTGTATCGCCCGTATACGCACACACACGGAGGCGCACACAGAAATGCAGTAGAATAAAAACAACAAAATAGAAAATGCAGAACATGGGAAAAGAAAAGTAACTTTCCAATTTTTTAATAAAATATGAACCGTTCAGGTAAAATATAAAAATGTTTTTAACGAAACAGAAATACAACAGACTGTGTGTGGGAGGAGCAGTGTTAACAAAATTGAAAAAAAGGGAAAAAACGGGAGACACTTAGAAGGATCTGTGATTGATAAGTTGAGCGAATTATAACTTTGGGGAAAATGTTGCAAAGGCGAGCACAAGCATAAGACAGATTTTTCGACATCCTGACATTAAACGCTCGCTGCGATGTTCGCTCCATTGTACAAATCAACATTTGTACTTCCCTCTTTTGTGTTCAGAGGGCATACCAACTGGGGTTATTCCTGCCTACCAGGTAAAGTGGAAACGCATGTGTAGGGAGGAAAGTGCGCATGATTGTGTACCTTCCCATATGCAGCAAATGAGCTAGCCAAAAAGGAGTGCTAAAAAAAAGAGGAAAAAAAAAATGCATAAATATTATCATTCACCTGAACAGTTCAGGCGAATTGGGAAGTAGTCGTGCCATCCCCCACGCCTCCACCAAACTGTGTGTGTTACGCTACAACGGGATGTGCGAAAGAACAACGAATGTGTAGAGGAATACCTTCGGTTGTAGAACGGAGCATTTCAGTTACTTCTCAAGTTGGCCAGTAAAAACATCATTTCTTTTGTTAATATGCGTTTCTCCCTTTCATGCGTGGGGGAAGCGGGAAGTTGTTTGTACTGCCACTTTTGCGTACATTGTAACGGGTTATGTTTCCCTTCTTAAGTGACTGTTCCTGTCATAGGTAAGGCATCATATTAAGTGGCTATTCCTATTTGTGTCAACTATTTGGAGAGATATTCCGACATGTACGTATCATTTTTATCTCTCCTTTAAAGACATATGTAGGGAAATGTCGAGAGGGGGAAGCAAAATGGGGCAAAGCATCGCCCACATTCAACAGATAAACCGCTGCCGAAAGTTACCTTCACACTCATGTCTGTTGGCCGATGTTATTTTATTCCTTTTGAAAGTAGGGGAAAAGGAGGGAGCTCCCATTTCTCCCACTTTCTAAAATGAACCAAATGAGATGTGATCACAGCGAATTGTACACCTCGCGCGTATGGAGAGGGTTTACCTGCTGAGGTGCAAAGCGCGTAGGTCTGCTTATTTTACGCCCATTTTACGTCCATTTAAGGCCAATTTTTTCGGCGCAGATAGACAGGCGTGTACGTCCCCAGCCGTGCACCCCCCAAACCGTGCACACACCTATGCTCATGTCATCCGGCCAAGTACCCAGCCCAACAGGCAGATTCGGAACAGATTCGCCATAGCGTTCACCTCTCAGTATAATGTTATTTTGGGGAGGGAAATTTTTTTAAGCATTCTTTTTAAGTATTTTTTTTAAGCATTTTTTTTTTCTCTCCGCGGAAAACTGTGACATTGGTTTCTCTGTAATATGTCCTTTTTTAAAAAAAAAAAAAAAAAGTTAACAGGTTCTAAGTAGATGTCTACGCGTGGAGACACATGGGTGTAGTTCATTTTTTCCCAGCTTGGCCATTCTTCTTTTAAAGCACACATCACACGTTCAGTTTGTCACCAATAGGTGTGCTTAACTGACTCGGAAGAGGATTCGTAAGGGGTATGGGCATATGTCTGTATGCACATATTCGTATGCGCATGAGCACATGTATGGCCCACATATGATGAGGGGCTCTCCTCAGTGGGTGATGCACACAAAGAGCAGAGATAGACACTCGAAATTTCCCAAAGAGAGTGTTATAACAAAAATGTAGAAGAGGGAATCGTCCATTTGGTACTCCCTTTGACACCCCGCCCCGCGTTCTTCCTGTTTAGTAGAAAGAGCTACTTTGCTGAGTGGTCTTTCTTGGGGCATACTTCCTGTTTCGCTCCTCCTTAGTGTTAATTGTGTCTAATGAATTGTCCTCCCCGAACGGAGAGGTGCGAATCATGTGAGGAGAGTTAAACGTGTTTATTTATTTATATATTTATTTATTTTTTATTATTTTTTTTTTTTTGTAAACTTTGCCCCAGTTGTTAATATAAGAAGTCATATATGTGTCTGCCTCCCCTGAGCGCATTGCCTACATGCCTGAGTGAATGTCTCTTGGGGAAGGCTCGTACAGGAGCGGTAACACGCGTTGTTACCGTGTGACCGTTTTACCGCTTACGCTATCATATGCATAACGTCTTATGTACCCCTGCGGCGGCAGAACCATGGATAGCAACACGTGTAACTATCACAGGGGCGCTAACCAAGGAATCGCACCGGGCTATGTCAGTAACGAAAATGTGCTCAGCGTGGGCAACTACGGTAGCATCCGGGGAGAGTACAATGCGAACCCCACCTCGAGTTTTTATCTTCCAACATCATCAGGCTTCAGCTCGATCAGCACTGTGAGCAGTACCGGCCAAGTGAACCCTACAAGTAACTACACCCCTTGTGAGCATCTCCTAAATTCATATGCATGTCTAGAGCCTTCGGTTAGCAAAGGGGGGGCAACCTCCCACACGAACACGTTCAGCAATATCGTGGCTCCCTACATTGGAAACGCAGATAAAGGGAACAATTTAAACGACTCAGGTGGGGTTTGGGGGGATTATTCGTCTAAAGGGTTGACTCAGAGTTATGACAGGAGTAGGGGTGGGTCGTGTGTGCAGTGTGCTTGTTGGGGACGGAATGCAGACCATGAGCGAGGCACTCTGGATGCGGGCCTTTTAAACAGGGCATCGGGGCCGTTCCTGGGCTACGGCGTTTACTCGGCGAGTGGAGGTAAGTTGCGAAGTAGTAGTGAATGGGGAAAGAACATAGGTGCGACTAGCATTGTTCGTGCCACCCCACCCGAGTGAAGCAAAAAAAATAGAAAAAATAGAAAAAAAATAGAAAAAAAATAGAAAAAAAAAAGAAAAAAAAAAAAGAAGGCTGAGACTGACATGGCCGGGAAGGTGTATCGTGGCAGCTTTACTGTACAATTTTGTCCTCACCTTTTTTTTTTTTTTTTTTTGCATTTTTCTATCCTCCTATTTTTCCATTCTCTTTTTTCTTTTTTCCGTACTGAGCAGGCACCCATCCCAGCGCGAGCGCGAAGCGTGCCTTGATTAATATCAGCTCAGTAAGCCATGCTCCAGAAAACGCTAACGTAAGTCTCAACACAAGGGAGAATTTGACTTTTAATGCCGGCAGAACTTATGGGAATGCCATCGCACAGGGGGTGAGCGGCTACTCGGGGAGCATCGTGGCGGAGCGCGCGGGGGGAAGCAGCCAGGTTACCAGCGCGGTGAGCCTACCTAGTAACGCGGTCAGCCTTCCTAGCAACCCATTATCAACGCACGTCCTCGATGCAAACGCCAACGCCTTCCAGCCCCTAACCGAACGTGTGAGATCAAATGGCGAAACCCCCACTCACCCGTCGAATGCACCTCACAACGCGTACGATTATATAGCCCTAAATCAACTGTGCCGCAGACAGTGCACAGCCCCATTCAATTATCCATCCCTAAATGGGTGTCTCTTAAGGGGGATGAACTCTAGCACTGCCAACAGCATAACAGAGTTAACTATGAAGACGACTGGCAGTGCGAAGAATAACACAAGTGGGTCATTCCCCTCGGATGGAAATCCATTTCACTCTTCGGCCATTTCCCTGTCAGGGGGGGAGAACATCAACTCAGCTGCTGCTGTGAACCCTAATCGGATAGGCATGGCCGTGCCTACCATAAGTATAGTCTCGCCACATCCAAGTGAGACATCACAGACTGGGACTGCTTGTCTTACTGCACCCGGTATGTGCATCGATGCGCCTATCCCATGTGTCTCCTCGCCCAACGTACAAATGAATAGCGTGACCCCGGGGAGGCCAGGATTAAACTTAAACATTTTGGGAAACTACCCAGAGGTATCACTCCCACTTCGCGATGTCGAAATGAAGAACATTATTTACCGCAACGGGGGGAACCGGAGGAGCTTCACGAACGAGGTGAATCCGTACACCTCTCTAAGAGTGAACAACGAAGTGATGCGGACTACTTTAGGAGCCGCCATTGGTATGGGGAAGACCGGGCGGAACAGCCACTCCTACCTCAGGGGGAATACCAACGAGTCGGTAAGGAGCAACGCGGGAAGGAGAAGTCACAGGGGGAGGAGCAACCACACGGGAAGGAGTACTCACACGAGAAGGAGCACTCACACGGTGTACCCTGTAAGTGAGACCAGAACGGGAGGTATTTCCAGAGGGAACGAATACAGAGAGGAATATGGAGGGCCCCCCTCGGACAGGGACTTTTTGTATGCACGAAACCGGAAGTCTTACACTCAGATGAGCGAAGCGATGGAGCCAGGAGGCTACAAAGAAGAGAACATGACTGGTCGGACCAATCGACCCATGGATAGGTACACACACTTGAGGGAAGGGAAAATACTAAATAAGAGGAGCTACGATTTGTTTGCTCACAGCGCTAATGAGCCGCGTGAAAAGAAAGGCTTCAGCAGTTTTCACCATGCGCCAAATGTGAAACGCATAAGCACGCACCGGAGCTCCAGAGGGAGGAACACACTTGGGAGGGACGCTTCATCCGCAGGGGAGAGCGACAGTGGGGATGCCAGTGACAGCGGAAGTGACGCATTCGGTGACGGTCAAATAAGGAGGAGTTACAAAGAGGGTAGGCCACGCGGCAGAAGAGGAGGCAGAAAAAGGGAGAGGAAAAGAGAAAACAACTCCAGTGACACTGCCTCGTCTGGTTGTTCATTCAGCGACGATGAAGGAGTGTCTTCCGAGTCTTCCTCCTCGTCTTCCTTCTTTATCAACCCCGTGAGTGATAAAGTGAAAAGTAAAAAAAAAAAAAAAAAAAAAAAATTCAAATAAGCCTGCAAGAAAGAGTACCAAGGGAAGACTGGCCGTCCCCGAGCCGGGTAGGAGGAAGAGGCCAACAGTCATCGAATTTTTGAATGCCAAGTGGAACAGAGGTTCGTACAACGAGGAGGATCGAGGTGGAAGTGAAATTAGAAGTGAGAGTATAAGTGAAGGTAGAAGTGGCAGTAGAAGTGAAGGTGGAAGTGAGAGTAGAAGTCCAACTGGGGACCACGGCGAAAGTTGCAGCCTGAACAGCTCAGTCAATTTTGCGAAAAAGCGAAAGAAAGATTCCCCCGGTGGGAATAGAAATAAACGAAGGAACAGTAATTTCGAGGAGGCATGGAAAGGAGTGGGCGCTTCCCAGCCAAGCGACATGTTGTCTTCGAACGGGGATGAGAAGACGCGCGGGAGTGAGTGTATTGAGGGAGACTCTGACCGCGGGGATTCCCCATCATATTCGGAGGAGAGGATGCAAGAGGGGATGGATGCGAGTGGATTGGTCGACACGGGTGAAGTGGTCAATGTGGACAATGCTAGTAGTGGAAGTGGTAGTAGCAGTAGTAGCGGTCGAAGCGGTAGTGGTGCCTCACGGGAGTTGCATAGGAAGACGACAACGAATCGCATGAGGAAGGGAAAAAATGGACGGGGAGCCATTTCAGAAAAGACGAAACGGGCAGGTGGAGTCAAAGGGAACATAAAGGGTGTGTCGAAAAGCCGAGAAGACAAGCGGAGCGAGGTGGATAGCGAAGGGGTGGAAGAACATATCGAAAATGAGGACAACAATGAGGAAGGCATCGATAAGGAGCATGAGAAGAATGATGCATCCGTTAAGGATCTCCCCAAGGAGGGCGCGGGGAAGAGTCTCACGAGCGACGACCATTCGGGCAACGACCCCAGCACTGACAGCGACGAGTTGGATGGAAGCATGAGCTCGAGTGATCACAGTGAGAAGGATGGTTTTCACTCCGCAGATGGGGCCTCAGGCGAGGAGAATTTCGAGGTGGGTGAGGAGGAAGTGGAGGACAGCAGTAGCGAACGGGATGGTGCTCATGGCAGTGGAAACCGTAGCGATGGCGAAGTGGGGGAAGCACAGCCCGGGGAGGATGTGCAGAAGGGGGATGGTGCCTCACCGCAAAGGGACACTCAGATAAAGAAAAAAAAAAGTAAAATGCACAAATCAAACGTGGTGAAGGGAGAACCGAACGTGTCGTATGAGAATGAACAGAAGGACGGCATGGCGGTAGCAGAGAAGGACGAGACAGGGCAGAACTCCTCATCTGCAGGATGCACAAGCGAAGCGGAAGAAAGCGACACAGAAAGGAGCGAGAGCGAAACAACTTCAAACTACGAATCCGCAGAGGAAAGCTCGGAGTACCTCCTAGACTGCTCATCGGACGAGATCACCAGAACGGAAGACTCCTCCCAGGGAAGCGGTAACAGTGAGGTTCATGTCGGGGGGGACTCCAGCCCAGTTAGGGGCGCGAAGGATAGTGTAGGCAGGGGAATAGACATCGGAATGGGAAGCATAGTAGGCAGCGCAGTAGGCAGCGGAATGGGCAATGACGTAAGAGGTAGTGCACCCGGTGGCGCAACCCTGGAGGAAGAACCCGACACGTGTGCATCATCTCTCCTTCGCGTTTGTAGTGGCGGGGTGAAGATGGAGAAGCGCGAGAAGAGCCAGAAGACCACCGAGGGAGGGGAAGTAAAAGTCATTAAAGGAAGCAACACCGGAAAGGAAGGCCTCCAGTACACAGAAGTACATCTCCCCAGCGGAGTAAAGTGCTTCCAAACGGAATGGCAACCACAAAGAAGCTGTTCCGGAGGACTCCCCCGAAACAACAAAGCCTGCATCATCAGGCATGACAGAAAAGAGGTCTATACTAATATGAAGAGCCTAAATTACATCAACACGAACCAAATTCTGAGGAAAATAAAAAAAAATGTAATAAAAGAGAAGAATATAAATATATGCGAATGGATCATCTTATTGTCTTACGTATTTTATAAAAAATCTCGTTACCTAGATTTCAACAAAATATATCTCTACAATGTAATGAAGAGGTTGTCTCCATTTCTTCTTAAGCTAAACAGAAAGTGTAACGACATGGAGATAAGAAGTCTCTTCTTTTATTTGAGCAAAGTATTCATCCTTGACGATTACTTCATTTTCAGAGTTAACATTTTTACCTTCAATTGGTTCCTCCTTTATGTCTATAAAATGAAATTGAAAAATGTGCACTTTATTGAGGACTTAAATTTGCTAATAAATCTTTTTTGTGGGTTTTTAACCAACAGAAGGTTTCTGAATTATTCTCTTTTGTTTCTCATCAATGTCGTTTTGCAGAATGTGAGGGGTCGGTGTCTGTACCTGGGGGGTAACTACAACTACGTGTGTTCTTTGTACGTGTCTTTCTTCTCTAAAGTTGTCTGCTTGGCTGCGCGGCACAGGGGCGCACTGAGAGGGCAGCCTAAGAAGGAGACGCATAAGAGGGACATTACTAAGTGGGACACTCCTAAGTCGGAGGTTCCAGAACGTGAGAAGTGCAAACTGGAGTCACGCACAGATGGGATGGCCGACCAGAGAGACCCAACCATTGTGCACACCCTGAGCGGAGGAATCGTCAAAAATGATGAACACGCCGGGGCGAGAAAACGGGACTTGAAGAAAGAAGCAGGATCTCCAACCGCGGGGAAGCCAACCGCGGAGAAGGCCGCCCCTTCCAAACGACAAGATCTCATCCTCCTGTACGTCCTCTACGTTTCAAGAAACAACTTCGCCATTTACGTCAGCCTACTAAAGCATATTCTGGACGACATCCTAAAATTTAAGCTGACGTACAGTTTCCACAGGGTAAAAATGAAGACCAGGGCTTTTTACAGGAAGATTATTCGCTGCTTGAAAAATGTTAAAAAAGTTATGAACAGGTCAGGCAAGAGGAGGAGAAGAAGAAGCAGAAGGAAGCGAGGGGAAGACAATCGCGAGGAGAAGTCGGATAATCGCCCTGGAAAGTCGGCCATCCGCGTCGGCAAGTGGGACGATCACGCGAACGTGAATTACTCTTTTGTGTACCTCCTCATCGGGGTGTTCTTAGAATACACATCCTTTTCGTTCACTCCATCCGTAGTGAGCTTCTTCAAGAATGAGAAGCTGGAAATTCTGCATAGAGAGCTCTTTTCCCACCTCAAACAATACACAGACGTCACCTTCAGGTATATGAAATTTTATGCCCTGGACATGATGAGGGTTTATCCTAACATTTGGCTACGAAATGTTTTTACGACTGTTAATTTGAAGAAAATGGATGGATTGGATGATGCGAATGGCGAGGTTGGAGGGGCGGATGGTGAGGATGGTCAAGTGGAACCTGCGCATGGCTGCTTATCCCTCCTGAGGGGGGGAGAGTCAAATGGGTGGAGGCGCCGACGCACTGTTAAGAGGAATTCAGTGAATACGGACGTGACAGAGAAGGGCGGCCTGTCTACCACCACCATAACGGCTATGACAACCACGGTGATTACTCTCCACGGGGGGTGTGACTCTGGCAGGGAGGAGGGAGGCCCAGACAAAAAAGGCACAGCGGAACTAACTCAAAAGGATGATTCCAATCGAAGAAGTGGTGTGATGGAGGCGTACCGAATGGACACACCCAGGGAGGAATTGCAAAATGGATCCGTGTGTGATCAGAAGGACCCCTCCCACAAAGGAAATGATGAGTCGATACCTTTGGATAGCTGCTCCAAGGGGAAGAAAGGAATGGAACATTGCGAGGTGGACTCTTTCAAAGGCGAAGCGGAACAACAGGGAGAAGGTGCCGATGGGGAGTCACCAGGGGCAGCAGTATCTCCGGGGGAAGCAGTCTCTGCAGAGCCACCAGATACACCACTGCGAAAAACAGCCAAAATGGAAATCTCTGCCAGAGTGAAAATCTCTTCCAAGAGTGAACCCCCAAATGCATTACAAAAGAATCCTAAAGGGAATCACTACACAGATGAACGTTTCGTGGATGCCACTCTCTTCATGTTGTGTCGATGTTTGAAGCTGTTCAGAGGGAGTGTCACACTTAGCACTCTATTCGATGTTTTGTTTCTCTCCTTCCTGCATAGAATTGATGGCGACAGGCTAAAGCGTTTTCTGGTGGAAGTGTATACCACAGATAAGGATCTCAGCGGGTTGGTAACAAAAATAATCTTTCGGAGTGTCCTGCGAGAGGAATGTTTCCGAAACGTCTGTTTTGTGAATTATTTTTTGGCAAGGAGGGAGCCGCTGCATCTTCCCCATCTCGATTTGGGTGGCTTGCAGGTCGGCTTGCAGGTGGGATTGGCTGACGTGTGCGCATTTTACCTCAGGGGGTTCAGGAGGTGTGGCAGAGGAAGCAGGAGGAAAAGTAAGCAGATCGGTCGACGCAGCGGAAGTAGTGTGCGGCGCCACCCCCGAGGGGACGGACCTACCGAAGAGACTAACTACCTAAACGCACAGCTGCATTTGAAGCCCTGCCCCTGCATGTTCCTCATGTATGTACTTTTCTTCTCCAGTATATTTCAAAATTTCAAAATGTACTTTATGCATTTTACAAAATTTTCCTATTCGCTTCAGAGGAGAGTAATGACAAAGAAGGGGGGTACCAAGAGGGGGGTTGTACCGGAAAAAGAGTCGCCTTGTCTCGAGTGGGGATCTCCACAGGAGGAGAAGCAACATGGTTACCGCTGTCATTACTGCGAGAGGGGTTCCTTTTCGGACGGCGCGCTAGAGGCGGGGAAGAAGACCCCCAAGTCGAGTTCCCTCAACAAAGAGAAGGAATCGATATCGAAGGGGGAGGAAGTCAGATGGAGCAGAAACGTCGAGGAGGTGATGGAGAAGTATCACCTGATAAGTCTTGAGGATGGGATAAATATGCTCCCCTTTAAGGGGAGTATGAAGAAATGCTCATCGCCCATCTGCGTGAGAGCGAAGCAGAAGGAAAGTGCAGTGATGCGGACGATGTTAGAGAACGTAAAAATACGAGAGGATAATTCAATGGGAAATAGTGACCCCCTGTTTAGTGAAAGAACAGCCCATCACATTCTGAGCGTCCTGTATGAGCAGAGGAGGATGCGCGATGTTCAGCTGGGAAGCGTCTTCGCCAGAATCGATGGCGGCATATTCAATGGGCAGAATTTTCATGACCGCATATTCGATGGACACCTATTTGATCGCCGCGTGGGGGGAGGAAGAACAAAAGGGAAACTACCACACGAGAGGAACCCTCGATGTGAAACAAAGGATCGAATCCGAGAACGGTACAGAAAGATCCTAAGTGGCGTCCTGAAATGGAACAAAAAAAACATTGCCTATAATAAGAGGAAGGAGGAGGGAAAGCAAAAGGCAACCCTTAAGAGGAGAAGAAACAAATACACAAACATAATCTTCGATGTGTACCCCTTGATTTTTCTATCCCTGGTGAAGCTACTTAAGGCCACTATAAGCATTAACGATGATGTGAAAGATAAATGCTTCGATGTGAAGAATGAGGAGTTTCCAGTCCAGCTGCACATCTCTGTGGAGTTAAATAAAAATGAGGAGGCACTAAAAATTCATCAGAAGGGGATGAAATGTTTTGAGAGATCCAAATGGCAGTACTCCTTTGTCAGGAGATGTCCCTGTAGTGGGATTCCACTTCGTCATTCCGCATTTGGTGATGCCTCATCTTTTGAGGCACCATCCCATCCTCGCCCTGTAACAGCAGCCGATCCCAAGTCTTCGAAGCTTCCACTGGGAAGAACGAACAGTAGCCTAAACTTAGCAATAAAACTGCTTTACAGAGAAATCAGAACCGACTTTTACATCTGGAGTGAGTACTATGACGAGAAGGTGCACCTATACCGGACGCTTCTTATCCTGCTGTTGTTGAAGTATCTGTCCAGTGGTCTCAATTTATCTTCCTTTCGAAGAAGGTTCGTTCTTTTCTTTACTCAGAGACTCTTTCGCCTGCTATGTTTCCGAGTGATGTGTCTGTTTTTGTCCGACGTGCATCTGAGCAGGCTGACTAGCGAGATACTCGTCGTGGATGAAGACTTCCTCGTGAAGAGCTACCAGGCGAAGCGGCAGAAGGAGAGGCGCAGTGTGCAGAGGCACCGCTTGCAGAGGGACCCCCCGGGCGGCGCGCAACTCTCGCCACGCCGGAGTCGGTTCCTCCAGAAAAAGTCCTACAACAGGTATAAGAGGTACTCGGAGAACTTTCTCTTCAACGTGCAGTTTTTGCGCGGAATAGAGGTAGGAAGGGAGGACGTGGACGCCTCGGAGGTAACCACCGCCAACGTAACCACCGCCAACGTAACCACCGCCAACGTAACCACCGCCAACGTAACCACCGCCAACGTAACCACCGCCAACGTAACCACCGCCAACGTAACCACCGCCAACGTAACCACCGCCAACGTAACCACCGCCAACGTAACCACCGCCAACGTAACCACTGCCAACGTAGCCGCTGCTAAACGCACCGTGTACAAGCCGTTCGTCCCATTCGGAAGCCTCGTGATGACCAAGAGGGAGATCTTAAAGCTGAAGTTGCAGCGGAGGGAGGAAATAAAAAAGGAAAACCTCTACATAGATAAGTCCATTTTGAAGGGGAAGTCAAGAAGTAAAAGCAAAGGAGGACCAGAGATGGAAAACCAAATGCCAAGTGAGGAGAAACACTCCGTCCAGCTGTCCATCGTCTCCATAATCCTCCTGATGAACTGCCTCAGAAAGAATAGTAACTACTCCAGCAGTATCAATTTTTATTTAAGCCTCTTGGTGGACAAATTTTTGGAGAAAAAAAAATACATACATCTGGATGAGCAGTATCTTGTGCATAGCTACGTGGTGAATCTACAGAACCCGTTGCAGATGAATTGCAAGAGGGATCTCTTCTCCATGAGTGAAAAAAACAGCTGGGTCAGAAGGAAGTTTGAACTGATTAACAGTGGCTACAGGTTCTGTATCTCTTCCCGTAGATTTCCCATTTTGGAGCTCCTTTTTTACGAGTCGCTAAAGGTGTATTTGACTTTTCTCCACAAAAATACATTAGGAGCGCTGGTCTGTAAAATGTCTAAATTTAATAGCATGTATGCCGGGATGAATAGGAATCTCCATTTCGGGATGAAGATCAATCAGCTCCTCTGTTGCAAACTCAACACGTTACTCATCGAGGAGCACTTGAATATGCGTCTGACTAAATCTATTTCGAGTGTCACTTATATCCTGTCTGCCTGCAAATTTCTCTTCATCTCCATGCTGGATGAGACTGAGAATTGTGACTTGGCGGTGCCCCTGTCGGGGAGGCGCGCTCGCCATGGGGAGAACCCACGGGGGGGAGAAGCGGGCCAAATACACCAGACGGGGCAAATGCCCCGAGTGTGTCTTTCCTCCCGGGGGGACGACTCCATCCTAGGCAGACACAGGCTGATCGATGGGGAGCAAGCCGAACGGGCAGGAGTCGAAGGGGGCGATGCGTATGACATGCGAGTAGATCAAAGTGAACCCAGTGGTGGTGGTTCTCACGGGAAAGGGCCAAACGTAGCAAAATTGCGCATTGTGGCGAACGGGACGAGTGACCCCCCGCGGAGGTACAATCCGAACGAGAACACCTCCGGGCGACTGGTAGTTGGCAACTGCAGAAGGGATTATCTAAATAGCGCTGTGGGAACATTGCAGAGTGGTGAAGTGGCCATCTCTCCTAGGGACACCAGTGGGGGGTGGACCCAGCGGGAGGGGCAAATCACTCCCCAGTGGTGCAATTCTTACCGGGCCTACCATGTAACAATCGAGCAGTGTACCAGGTATCGAATTGAGCATTACCATAGGGAGGAAGGAAGAAGCGTCCCTATGAAGAAAAAGGCAGCCATCTATATGAAGCCAGACGACGTGAACAAGCTAATCACTTCCTTCGAGCAAATGAACAGAACTATTCTGGACTGCACCGATTTCATTTATGAGTTATACTTTGCCAGTGAGAGGGATGATCCTACACAGGAGGAGAAAGAGAAACGAAACAGACACATATACACATGGTTTGAGAGCTGCTTAAATGTGCTCACCTTCGAAAAGTGGGTCGTCCATCAGCTTTACAACAAATTTGATAATGTTACCTGCATCTATACGTTGAAGAGGAAAAAGACATTGACTAGCCACGTGGTTAGAATCAATTCGCACATTCTGCGCGATATTGCCAAGGTGCAGAATTATTTTGAGGACCGCTTCGATCATGTGAAGAAAGCTTGTCATGCGGATCGGGCAGCCAAGAATGAAGAGAATGAACCGATATGCATAGAAGATTGTGCATCTAGGTTAGATGCAATGAGGGAACAAAACTGTGCAGATGTGGCCGCACAACTTGGTGACAACACAGAGGAGCTAGCCAAACCGGAGGAGCTCATTGAGGACTATGATGAGTTAAACTCTTTTATCGACTTTGGGGAGGACTTATCCTCCGGTATGCTGCTACAAGGAAGGGATGCGCGGGCCCTCGAAGGCGAAGTCCGCGAGGATGTTCAGCGATTGGATCAGTACAAAGTGGACGAAGGTTGGCTAACCTACATCCGATCGTTGATTTGAAGCGGGCAGGGGTAGGTCTCTGTCCCGCTGGTAAGAAGGGGCCAAGAATGGGGGGCAATGCAAATCCGCTTCAACATGTGCAGAGCTGCGCGGGGCGCCTCAGCAGTGTGTGTGTTAACAGCTTCCTCTGGGGATTTCTTTCCTCGTACCTCGTTCCCGTTTTGCCTTTTTCCCATTTTGCTTCCTCCCCATCTTGCCCCTTTCCCATTTTGCTTTGTTCTTCCCACTTGTGTTCTCTTCTGTTTTTTTTTTTTTTCCGCCGGGAAGCTCCCCCCCAGTTAAGCCAGATGGGGTACTCTCCGCATGTGTCATCCCCTCAGTGGGTGCAACTTTTTTTAAGTGAAGGCAACTCTTCTGTGAAGGTTTTTTTCTCCTATGCTTGGAACTACCCAAGGGGTAACACTATTAATGCACCGAAGAAGGAGATATGTATGAATTATATTGACTGGAACTACGTGGCGGTACATTCGCCCCTTTGTTGTTGTTCTTCTTCTGCTTCTTCTTCCTCGCTTTCGAGAAAAAGCGACTGGCTTGGACTCCTTCCCTACAGATGGTTCACTACGACTTCTGGTGCCCTGCAGGGCAGCTCACAAACTGAATCGATTCCCACCCGAGAGGAGCAACCTGTTTAATCATGATATTATATTGTATTTTTTTTTCTTATTTTTAGCATTTCTAGGGGGCTATAAATTATATATGCACGGAAGGGGTAAAAAAGAGGTGTAGGAAAGAAAAAAAAGAAAAAAAAAATGAAGCCTCCCCTAGGCGAACATATGTTTTGATGCATAGGCACCCTAAACTACTGACCAATCTGGGGGAGCAAAGCAGCCCCCCCAACCCCATTTTTCCCGCAAGTTGACCTCGAAAGGAAAAAAAAAAGAACAATCCCTTCTGTGCTGACCAGCTGTATGAAATGAAATTACACACCTTGGTCATGTTCCTCCTACTGATCGGTTCCCCTTTCTTGCCCCAGCACCGATGCTATAGAAGTAGCCAGCCGTTCCAGCTGCTAAACACCCTCAACAGATCTGTGGTGAAAAGAAAATCGGACTTCAGACCGAATCTATGTGCCACTGCACCCAGTGAACATTTACAAAATTTGAAGTACGTCCGGGAAGTAACCAATGCAAGCATACAGACATGTAACAACGCACTGAAGGAATGTAACGGTGATGTGGAGAAAGCAATTGAGTTGGTTCGGCGGAGTGCGAAAAATACTTCATTTGTCTCCACCAGTGTGAAGGTTAAAACGGAGGGGCTGGTTGGTTGCCAAATGGGGAGGGATAAAGTCGTGATGTTGGAAGTTTTAACTGACTCGGATTTTGTGGCCCGGAATGAGAAGTTCATTCGGTTTGTAAGGACTCTGCTGAGTACTGCCCTGGCGGGAGGGTCGCAGTCCGCGCTAGAGGCAGCGCATACAGGAGAGGGTAATAACGGTGCGCACAATAAAACGGACAACGCGACTTATAATGAGACACAAAGCGAAACCCCCAATGCTTTGCTTACTCCCGTGAGCGCATCCTCACCGGGGGCCACATCTCTGCTGAGCCTTCCCTATGACGATCACAGCGGGGATTTAGGAGCCACCACGGTCGGCGAGCAAATAAACTACTTGAGGAACATATTTCGAGAGGACATACGCATCGGACGGTTCACCAAATACAAGCGGAAGAATGAGAACCAGTTTCTACATTACTACATTCACAATCAGGTGGAGGAAAACATCGGGACGTCGGGGGTCCTTCTCGTTTTAACAGTCGAGCAGCTGACGGAGAAATTAGGAAGTAAAGGGGAATCTATTGCCCAAGTTGCAAATGATATGGCTCTGCATATTCTGTCCGCCAAGCCTGTCATTGTGTCCATCTCCGATTTGCCTGAACAGATTGTCCAGCGCGAGACTGCCATCATTCGGGAGTCCCTGCAGGGGGTGAACAAGCCCGAAAACATAATCAACAACATGGTGAACGGGAAGATGCGAAAGTTCTACAGCTCCGTGGTGTTCCTCGAGCAGGTGAGGCGGTGAAACAACGAAGTGAGGGGCGGCGAAGCAGAGGAGACAACATGCTGATCACCCTTTGTCGTGCCTACCCAATTGTGCGAATCGGGCGCTTGGCTGGATGCTCACCACTCTGTTGCTTCTCCCCGCAGTTTACGCTTTTCCCCTCTTTAATGAGACTCCATTCGTTTCATCGATTTATCCACTTCACTTCACTCGGCTTCTCATTTCTTTTCCCCTCTCAGGAGTACATGCTGGACGATACCAAGCGGAAGGTCTCCCAAGTCCTTCGTGATTTCTGCAAGAAGCACGACATTAACATAAGCGTTAGCCATTTTGAGACTTTCATCGTTGGGGAGAAGAACATCATGCGGGAGTGACACATGGGGAGGGAGAAAGATGCCGTGCGGCCTCATACGATGTGTGCTTCCTAACTGGTCATTTTTGTTTTGTTTTCTTTTTTTTTTTTTTTTGCGGTGTTTATTTTCCCGTTGGAAGGAAAAAAGAAGGGGCAATGATTATATTGTTCATTTTTTGTTGGGACAGCGGGGGGGATGGAAACTTCCCTGGGAATGCATGCAGAGTGAGCGACGCGAAGGAAGGCATGACTGATGAAGCAACGCGCAGAATGGCATAAGTGACGTTATGAAGCCAAAAAAAGAAAAAAAAAAAAAATTGCCGTAAAATGGGAAAGATGAATTAATGCCAAACTAGGAAATGACTGATGGAGGACCACCTCGGAGTGGAAAAAAATTAGCGGACCCTTTTCTCCAGGAGGGGTCAAACGGCTAATCATGCGCATCACATCAGAATTTCTTGATTTGCTCATAAGCCTGCGTACGCTCGGTGGAGGGTAATACCAACGTGATAACTTTTCCCAGTTGCTTGGCCAGTTATCCACTCTGTCGCATTTGTCAGAAGGGTGAGTAAAACAAATCAAGGAGGATCATTCGAAGTAAACACAAAAGAGTTGGAACCAAAGGACGCGGTGAAGAAGAAAAGGCAAAACAGAAGGGGGAGAAGCTGCTAAGAGGGGTGAACGTACAGGGTTGAAGTAGAATTGTCGCCAGTCGCTTTAACAGGGGTAGCCTCCCCCCCCAAAAAGAAAACGCACCAATTTGTGTAACTTTAACACCTTCTTCCCCCTGAGCTGCTTCACGCAGGATGAGCAAGGAGCACATTCTGTTTGATAGCTTCCCCCTGACGTTCCTGAGTGACGAGGTAGACCACAGCAACTTCGAAGATGAGCAGGAGAAGACCTACCGTGAGAAAATTGCAAAAATGACGGAGGAATTGAAATCTCTAAGAATGGAAATCACAGAGAAGCACTCCATAAGGAGCATGTTGGAAGAAAAAGTAGCCATGTTGCAAAATGAGGAACAGATTAAGCAGAACAACCTCAAGTATGTCCTGAACTTTTGCGACAAACAGATGTATGAGCGTGAGCTGGCAAACTTTCACAATCACCTAGAACAGCTGAGGAAGCAGATCCAAAATAGCAACTGCAAAATAAAGTTGCTCATCGAGAAAGAATTCAAAGTGAGGAAGCAGCTGCAGCTGCGGTATATGAAGCTCTATGACCTGCTAAACGAGCGCGTTCGCTACATCCTCAGCGATTACGTAAAACACCGCAAGTGCGCCTGTGCAATATTTGCCTACCGTCAAGAGGGGAGGGACCTGGCACGAGGGGGCGGCGCGGAGCAGTGAACGGGGGTAGCGGTGATGAAGGCGCTGCGAAGAAGGAGCGGTGAGGAAAGACGCGTCGAAGAAGCAGGGAGGAAGGACGCCCCAATGGCCTACACCCCCCGGGGTGGGGGAGTACCCCATGGATGTTAACAAGAGTACGCAAAAGATGTCCATCTGAATGATATGCCTACGTAGATAGTCCTATGTAAATATGCCTATGTAGATATTCCCATGTTTATGTGACCCTATGTTAGCATGTCTCTTTGTTTTCCTTTTTGGTTTTCCCCACGCATCGTCCCCATTTTTTTTTACGATTGCGAGTGGGGGAGGCGCCTACATACGAATTCCCGAATGGGGGTACGTTTGTTCGCTTGTATGTATGACAAACCCGCGTGCGGGCCAGTGTCCACTTTTTTTTCTTTATTTTTTTTCCTTTATATTTATTTTATTTTTTTTTTTTTGCCCTCATTTTTGTGGGACCTCAACATTTTACGCACGCTTTTTTCCCAACAGGGAACATAATGGCGTCATTTGAGTTTACAAAAAAATTCACAAAAAAAAATGAGTAAAGTGGGGCATTCGTTCGGGGTAAGGAGATCAAGGATGTGGGGCCACGTCAGCCCGGTCGCCCCTTCCACAGCGGCCTACCCCGTCACTTCACCCGCGGGAAGACGAACTGCAGGGCCCGGCGCATCTCCCGTAGCAGGTAAAATGCGTACCTGTACTCATACAGGAGAAGGCGGAAATTAGCGGAAAAGAGGAACTTCAAAAAGGGGATCTGGTTTGGACCTCTTCTGGGTAGCGTCTTTGATTGGCGGTTGGCCAAGTGGCCAAACGGGGTTCCCCTTTTCTTCCAATCTCTCATTTTCGTAGCTTTAAAAAAGCGTAATATGTCATGGTATATTTTTCTCAAGGTGTGTAAATTATCATTACAGTTGAGTTTTTCATGTGGAATTGATCCGCCGCTTTGTTTGGTTTCCTCAAATGGGGGAAGCAAATGGTGAGGACATGTAGCATACTGCAAATGTTCTCGGTTAGCAGATGACGATTGGACTTGTCTGAATCTCCGGCTTGTACTTCCCTTGTGGCCTCCCCCCCCGCGTAGCACCCGAGATATTTGCAAAGCGTATTCATGTATGGTGTAAATTATGCACTTGAAAAAGATGCCATAATAGCTTAGCAGAACGGGGGGGCACGTCGCTTCTCCTGTTTGTTCTGTCTTCTCCTCTCTGGGGTGGGAAGAGAAGTCATCCTCGCTGTGATGGCCAACCGTGGGCAACCCATTTGCAGACCATCCTTTCCGCATCGTTTTAATGTCCTCTTTTGTCGAAGCGCGGCTGTGATACCACGTGTTACGAATGTGTAAGCACCGTTTGAGCAGTCGGCTAACCCGCTTCGTCAGATTGTTTTTGTTTTTCTCGATATATTTTACTCTGAAGCGGGTGTACTCATGGAAGAGGTATTTTAATTCTTTCGCGAGATAACGGTCTACAGAGCGCAGCAGCCGTGATGTTTCTTCCTGTCTGTGTGTTTTCCTTTCTGCTTGTTGGTTTTCCACAGGGGGTTCTCCTTTCCATTCATCGCTTCTCCGAAGTGGTGAATCATTCTTCCCTCCATTTCGCCCCTTCAGCTGGAGCGGTAGGACCACATTGCAGACCACCTCGAGGAAAAAGAAGTTACAGTTGCATCGGCAGTACAGCACATTCCTCAGCGCATTGGAATAAAAATGAATGTAAATTCTTTCGCAATATAGTCTGTCCAACAGGTGGATCATCTGTCTGGAAAGAAGTTTATATTTCTTCATTTTGCTTTTCAATTTTGTGTATAATATTTGCGGCGTAAGGTTTCTGACCTGTTCATAATTTTTTTCTACATTTTCTTTTTTTTTCTTTTCTTTTTCGCCCCTTTCAAAGAGGATAAACTCAAGGTATGTACTTTTGTGGTGGGAAAATTGCCTTCCCGCGGGGGGGTATCCCATGTACGCTTGGTCCTTGTGGGTGATCTTCTCCATGGGGTTCAGCATTGCCTGTATGGGTCCCTCTCCCCCGTCTTGTTGACCATCGCTGCGATGGTTGTTACTTGTGTGCCCACGCTTGGGGGGGTGGTAGCCATAGCACTTGTAGCCACATCGGTGACTTCTATTGGTGTGACTGCCATAGGGGTGACTGTCATAGGGATTAGTGGCAGCCACCCCCCCTTTCCCCATCTCCCATCGCGCGTCACTGCACAGTTCATGCCCTCTGACTAAGTCGAAACTATACGTGAAGAGGTTCGTCCTTACGACAACGAAGTAGCTGCGACTTAATCGCTCCATCAGGGACAGATACACATCTTGGAGATGGACCAGAAGGAATGAATTGTGCATGCCGTAGTAGTAGGCATTTTTCCTCACAAGTGTGTAAAAGAGTTCCTCCATCGCTTTACTAATTGAGGTGCTCTCAGAACGACTGCTCCTCTTCCTCACCCAGAGAAAACCAATAAGCTGATTAAATGTGCAGATATGCGACGTGGCCACGTAGTTGTACGACTTGAGCTCCAAGATGTTTTCAAAAAATCGGAAGTCCTCCTTCACGTATTTTAAAATTACCCCATTTGAAGATGCATGCGCGTTTTTTTTGCCTTTTCTTTGTGTCCAACTTGGGGACCGTTTGGATGGTAGACCGTCGGTAGGCACCCCCTTACGGTTGAGTGAAAGGCCCATTCGACGTAAACGTTGCCTACCCTTTTTTTGCTTCCCTCTTTTCACAACTGGGTGTTCCCTCTTAAGGCACATCTCCACGTACAGGTAGAGGAGGGCATTCTTCATGTTCCAGACATGCTGGCACTTGGCGTCCTGCTTAGCTAACTCGTTCACGAAGTGGTTCACTCGCTCGTGTAAGTGGAAGCTCCTCCTCCCCCTCAGCAGACCCATCAGACGGTAGTAATGGTTGTAGCAGTTGGGGTTGCATAGCAGGGATATGCATAGGCAGGTTAAGGTAAAGAGTGTCTCTTCACTAGGGGGACGGTTGCATAGGTCTACGTGGCTCTGTCCATCTTGGTTAGGCTCTTCTTGCCCCGGTGACGCTTTCTCCTTACTCCCCTCCATTAAGCTGCCCCAATTGGCACGTTTCCTCCTTCCCCTAGCAGATCCCCAACCGCATGCCCTCCTGTGGTTCATTCTGCTCAGCAGTTTCCAGAGGGGTATCTTCTTTAACCGCTCGTGTTTTTCCTTATCCGAAAGGTTTTTTATCTCCCCCGCAAGTTCGCCTGACCTGTTCATGCAGTTGGGATAGTTACCACTGCTCTCGCCATTTTGCCAACTTTTCCAATTTTCACACACCTCGCTGAGGTAGCGAAGCGACTTCTTACATAGAATTAGGATTCTCTTTTTGTCCTCTTCTGCGTTCAACTGCGCATTGGCATCATCTTTGATGAGATGCACGTGGCACAAACCACTGCGCAGAAATTTGTGTGCAGCTAGGAGTGTTAACTTGTCACATCTCCTTCTCCTGAGTTGCTCATAAAAAGATTTGCAGTTGTCGGGGATTTTTTTTTTTTTTTTTTTTTTTCTGTCTGGCTTCGTGGCGAACTGGGAATAACGTCCCCCTACGTGGCGTCTGCTTCCCTTCCATGGGTCTCTCTTTGTGAAGAGGAAAAAAAAGAGAAACATGAAGAGCAGTTTGTCCTTCTTTTTGATAACTCCATTTTCGCAATGAAAAAGTGATATGACGTAAGAGGCCAGTTGGCCAAAATAATTCTTGTTCCTTTCCCTCCCATTGGCATATAAGAGAAGGAGAATTTTTAAAAGGAAGGCATTCCATCGGCTGCATTTTTCACTTGTGCGTGCGCTATTCCTGCTCAAGTGAGGTTTCTCCTCCGGGGGTGGATCTTCCTCTAAATTGGCGGACGAATTTTGTTGCTCCTCTCGAAGTATAACTTTCCGGAGAAAGTTTGTCAGCTCCTCATCACCATCCACCCGACCCAAATGAATAACCTTGGAGTGAAACAGATTGCTCACACTTAACTCATGACATGAGCAGATTTCTATGTCATAATTTGTCCTCGCTTCAGCAAAGAACAGGCTACTAAGCCGTCTCACCACGTAGTATGCCAAGGCTCCCTCTAAAATGCTGACCGATGTTATCCTTTTCTTCCTCGCTAACAAGAAGGATACAAGTTTTACCATACCTGTGTCTTGGTTTTAAATAAATGGGGAGGCGAGAGAGGGGAAAACCCACCAACTCGGTTGGGCAGAGTAAAAACGGGAGAAAAAAGAAAAAAGGAAGGGAAAAAATTCACTACTTATTGTGCTGCCTCATCATTACATTTGCATCCTTCATAGAGGTGAGGCGGGAGGGGGAGTAATAATGCCACATTACAGAGTCCCACTTTGGAAAAAACTTGACGCGCGTTGCTCATCGGATTTTAGTCGAAAAGGGGAGTGCCTATCTGAGTAGTCACTCCTTTGGAAGGAGCGGGAGTAGGCCGCTGCGGAAGGAGTTGCAAAAGTGGCCTGTCCCTGTCAGGAAAATTGATGAATGTACAGAAGCGCGGCACATGTGACATACGCAACAGGGGCGATGTGAACGGGGCGAAGAGGGTAGCCAAGTCGAACGTCACGTTGGGAATGTTGAGCGAGTGTGGTGGGTCTCCCTCCTGTGAACAGGTAATCTATGTATAATAAAATGTTCTTCTACTTCTCTCTATTCATCATGCCGGAGAAGCAGGATTCGCAGAATGACAACATTTTACTCGTCCCCTCCCCTTTTGCGGTGCGCAAGAGTGTGGTTCCCGCAAGGGAGAGTTTTTGCCATATGGTGGACGCAAGGGTTCGTTTAGGGGCAGAATGGCCGACTGGTGAGTTAATCTACTTTTTGGCGCTGGGACTGTCATGAAGTGCCACCGGGTCCAACGGCCCAATGGTGCAATGTCACTCTGGTGATTCTGTCAATTTTGTTGATTCTGCCGACTTTGCTCAGTTTTCCGCGGTCTGGGCCCACGTAGGGAGCTGTACCCCCCCCTTGGACTCCCACACGCCGCCTCGATAGATCAACACAAGGAAGTCGAGCGGGGTCCACTTTATCTTCGTGCAACTTCGATAGCTGTCATGAGTGTTGATTATACAACATCGGATAAAAGGATGTGGAGGAATGGCACTCTGGATTGGTTCACCAAAATGTGTTTCGAATAGGGAGTTCATCCTGGTGAGTCACATTATTGCTCGCTGTCGGCGTAGAAGCATCGAAATGGTGCCGTGGTAGAAAAAAAAAAAGATAAAATAAAAAAAGCTGCCTCACAAAGTGCCTTCCCATGATTTGCACCATGACTCAACTGAGTAATGTGTGATGACAAAAACGGAGCAGCATAGTGCACAAGATTGCTCAATAGACGTAGTAAATTGCCTGGCCCGAAATGGACACATCGCTTCGCACGCTTTGTGGTGCCATTTGTTTGCCTTCCATTTTGGGTTGCGGCGCTAAAATGGAGGCCCACTTGAGGGGCCCAAATTGGAAGTTTCCTTTGGAAGAAAGGAAAAGCGAAATGGAGAAAATGAAGTGGAAGAAAAGAGAGAAAAAAAACACGTGCATAGGTATTTTGCAAAGATGCCTACCAGCTGCCACCAAGAATGTAACCAAACTGCGACGAAGAAGTGCATCTTACATAAAAGTGGCGCCCGGTTGTAGACCACTAAAGGGATGTAGTTCTTTTTTTTTTTTTTTTTTTTCTCTCACCATTCTGTGTCGATTTTTCCCTGAAATGTGAATGACGAAGGGTTCATCTGAGTGACTGTAGATCTTCTTATATAGACAACACTTCAAGTGAAGAAAATAAACACGCAGTGAAATTTTCCGAATGGTGAAACGACTAGTGTTTCACCTTTTAATCTCTACATAGTTAATAATTACCATCCTTAAATAGAAGAACGGACGGCGGGATTTTCATCACTAGGAGAAATACCCCTAGGGGAAGAACCCTCCCCAACATGAAGCCCTCTCTCCCCTGGATGATCCTCTCCTCCTGGCTATACTTCACAAATGGTTAAGATAGAATCTGTGCTCGTCGAATGTTGCACGTTTGTATGCATGCGCAGAGGCATGATAATGCTGCTAACCATGAGGGATGCGCCCCCCCCCCCATACCAGTTGTGTGCCTTGAGGAGGCTTCCTGAAGGAGCCGAAAGGAGCCCCTCCGCGTGGGGGAAGCAGAATTGCTCTAATTTTTGACGTTGAATTGGGGCCCCTCTTGGACGATGAATCTGAGGCCCATTCTGATGGTGAATTTTTTTCTCTTTAATTTCTTTTTTTTTTTTTTCACCACAAAAATGACGTGAATTACTTTGTGTAATGTGGAAAGGTGCATACGTGCCTAGTGGGGGGGAACAAAAAAAAAAAAAAAGAAAACAACGCAGTGGAGTGTAATGTACTGCTATGTGCTGCACCATGGGGAGGGAACCTTTCGACTGGAGGAATATTCCCTGTAGTTGCACATTGGTGTTTTCGTCTTCCCAGTGTTATCATATATACCCACACGACCGTGAACAAATAACTTGCTTGGCCTTCCTGAAGGCACGGAAGTTGCTGATAGCCCCTCGGAAAAGGAGTCCAAGTTGCTTAGCACATCGAGTAATCCCATAACGGACTGAGGAGGATGCCGAGGCAGCCTCTTGACACGAGGACGAGCGCGAGTTGTCACACCTTTGTCCATTTACGTGCCTATTTATCCTCCGCCACCTCGTTTTATTCCCCTTTCCTTTCTTCGAAACGGACCTACTCTTAGCACAGAAGGAACAAGGCAACAGTAGCATGAACAACTGGAGTTCAAGTGAATCACTTATCAGCTCCCATGTATATTTTGGAGAAGACGACAATTATTACGGCATCAAAATTTACGACTCCGATTTTGACGAAGAAGATAGTGAAAGTGAAGATGACTCAACGATAGAATGCAATTCAAGCTCCTCCTCGACAGGAATCCCCCAAGATAGTCCCTACAGCTTGGGATCCATGTCAGAAGCTACTCTCTTCTCATTCGAGGAGGGACAATTTTCTGGAATAGATGAACGGAGCAGTTATGAAAACATATCAAGTCAAGGACCACACGACGATGATTCGGACACTGTTGTGTTAAGCGAGAGTATAGACAATATCAGTCCACTCCTTACTCCCTCCTCGTCGCCCCCCAAAGATGATTCACCTGTATTGCTGAGGCGGAAAGATAGCACTAAAGGGACCCAATCGAAAAGGGACGCTGTTAAAAAATTGTCTATGCAATTCTTAAGAGGCGTCTCTCCTTTTAGACAGTCATGCTTGGGGACGAGTAACCATCATGGCAATCATCAGAAAGGTTGTGACGAATCAAATGCAAATGCTGATGTATGGCAGGGGCCTTCTCATGATGACGATTCCCAAACAGAAGAGTCAAAAATGGAGGACTGGGAGAAGTATAAAGCAGGGGGAATATTTGATATGACCGAAGAAGATTTAAGAAAGTCAATAATGCTTCTTCGGAAAGGGAAGAGTTTAGAGAGCCTGCTTCAAGTGGGGCTAAGTTCCTCCTATGAAAATGTAGAATCAGACGGAGTAGAATCAGACGGAGTAGAGGCAGACGGAGTAGAGGCAGACGGAGTAGAAGCAGACCGAGTGGAAGCATACGGAGTAGAGGAAGTGGAGGAAGAAAACGACGACGCGGTAAAAAGAATATACCTATCATGTCTTGAATATTTAACACGTGAGGCACAAACGGGTGTAGTTCGGGAGAGAAAATTTTCTGAGCAGGCGACCGATGACGTGCATATCTACGGTGGAGATCGTGCCAATGAGGACAAATCTGAACTCAATAGGTTAAGTACACTTTCTTCTATGTATGAAGGGAAGAAGGAGGAAACAAGACAAAGGAGGTTACATCGCGGCCGCTTTGCTCACGAATTGGATAATGATCGTGAATCGGATCCCGATATTCCCAGGGAAGAGGACTACACATATATGCAAAACGTGACAATGGAAGCAAATAACCCATTAGATAATGTCAGTGTAGGTTCACTGCCCATTGAATTCATCGAAGAGTGAAACTCGCAAATGAAGCGAAGCCTGTGCCAGATTGCACATGTGAAGAAGAGGGTATCAAATTGGGGGGCGCAAAAAAAAAAATTAAATTAAACTAAGTTAAACTAAAATAAATTAAACTGAACTAAACTAAAAGGAGACCAAATTAAAGGAGTGGACAAAGGGGGACGATGACCCCAATCGAAGCCACCACGCCGAAAGTGCCATTCGTGAAGAGCCTCCCTCCCCCCCTAATATAGTGCTCCAAAATATTCACCAAGTTTTCCTCCCCAAGAGAAATAACACATCCAGCCAAAGCGTATAAATTTTTATGAACGCGTTGTGACGGAATAGCCATCTCTCCATAAAAAGAGAACTTCCCTTTTTTAACATTTGACGTTTCCATAATGATGAAGAGTTTGATAGAGAATCCGAAAAAATTTCACCCCGGCGGTTGCTTAATTGCCGCAGTACACCCAAGTGTTGTAAAAGACGCTTCAGCTTTTTGTTCTTCTATTTTCTAAAGCAGACTTAGGGGAAATTTCATTTGGGGAAGTGGTAGCTAGCTACATAAACTAGCTATTTTTTCTTTTTTTTTTGCATTTGCCTGACTGTTCATAATTTTTCTTTAATTTCCAGGTGATTATTTAACCACGCTATGAAGCTATGCGATTACTGCTTCGTACACATGTACCCTCCCAGGCGTGTATTTTATTTTCCTCATTTTTTAGCCCTTAACCCACGCAAGTATTGTCCGCAGAGCCGCTCGTAAGTGCTTCGATTCGCCCGTTTTATGTGTGATAAATTTTGACTGAAATAACGCATGTGACGCTTAATATTTTTGCCATCTCCGCTCGACGGACGTGTACAGAATGAGGTTGCAGTGCACCCGGGAAAAGTGACTGGATGGATGTGGTACTTTTCCCTTTTTCACACTTTCGAAACTGCTATTGGGACTTGTCCACAACTTTTCATCATGATGAAGGGCGCTGTTGTATGGTTAGCGCGGGTTCCTTATTGCCCTTCTTTTCACATCAATTTTGTTTTGGCTTCTCTTAATGAGACTTAAGCTGTTGACCGTTGCGCTGTGTCTCAATCTGCGCGCCTGTAAATCTGCGAAGATGTACAAGCCAGCGGACTGCGTGGATGTCTAAAATAATACAAACTGCTTCACGGAATGGTTATTCTCTCATTTTTCCGAGGCATGTGGACACATGACGTGGATAGTTCCCCCCTTGGGTGTGACTGCTTTTGCTGAACAGAGCAACTCGAGTGTACACCCCTTCTCCCCCGCTGCAACTTTTTTGATGTTCCTTATTTATAGCCCATTAAGCGCATAAAATTTTGTAGCAACGTCGGCAAGGTGGAAAGAAAGTGTGAACAGATAGAGCGAAAAAAAAAGTATGAACAGGTAATGAAAAAAAAAGAAACCTTCTTTATGTGCTTAGTTAGTCATGCACATTTTGGTACTTTTTTTTTTCTTTTTCTTCAATTCCCCTTGGTTGACTCTTTTGTAAAAATGACATCATCCTTATTATGTAATCAATAAATGGGGGAGCTGGGCAGACTGCAGAAAACGTTGTGGACAGGGTGACGTGTCATCCTCCTTGTAGCTACTTACAAAAAGTGGACAAGGTAAAAAAAAAAAAGGGGTGAATTTACCTTACCAGTTAACCTCAGTTCAATTGTCCGCTATGCCACATGAAATCTCTTCTGTGGCTTCCATTTTTACACTTGTGTGGTGAAGCTAAACCGTCACATATTTGGCACATACATGGGCATAATGTGTGCAATCGGATGATGCGTAGGATGGGGATAGCATGTACACCTTATGTAGACCACACTTACGCTATACGTGTGTGCATATGATGGGGAGCCAAGCAAGTACTCCCTCTTATGAAAAAAGATAAAGAAGAACAAGTCTATTTTACCGTTAGGATTGTTTATTTTTGGCTATTTTTTTTTTTTTTTTTTCAAAAAAGGGAGGTCAAAATGTTAACGCGTAGTAAGGAAAACAACTGAACAAATCTGAAATGGAGTAGAAAAAAAAAATGAGGTAAATTGCGATATGTTAAGATATGGACAGGTAATAAAACATGTGCACATGTTAGCCCCTTTTATTTTAAAGATTAAATACCACCATGTTGCAGTGGCTTTTTTTTTTTTTTCTTGTTCCTTTCTTTTTGGGGTTCTCTTCAATGAAAACACATACAGGTTTTGTACGAAGGTTAATGTGTTCACCTTGTAACCTTCCCGCCATTTACAGAATTAAAAAAATGAAGCCTGTTCTGACGTGAACTAAGCATGCCCGCACGGGCGTTGGTGCGCCCTTCTGTGCACACGATAGGACATATCTGTACATGCTCATGTAGTGTCGTACGTAGGGCTCACTGTAGCAGCCTAGCAGAACGAACATTAATCAACATCCCACGGAATGGGAAGGACATCCATGCATCCCTTGGCGATGCATGCAGAAATAGGAAAAGATTTCCATCCCTCAGGAGGTCTACATTTTCCGCATGCATTTTTTTATTATTATTTCCCCCCCAACTTTCGTTGTAGTGACAGCATTTAAGGGTAGTAACCCCCCTCCAAGTGTCATTTCTATGTGAGGAATTGCCAATCCATCTGCATGATTTTGGAAGATAAAGAAATTCTGAGCAATTGCCTCCTTTTTTCATAACCACGAAATTGCTCACACACAAAAGGGCTGCAAGAAAATATAAAAAGATGTTTAAAAAAATGTTTTAAAAAATGTTTAAACATTTTTGCTTTTTTTTGTTTTTTTTAAAACATTTATATTTTACAATATATTTTTCACATAATTTCTCATATTAAGTCTTCATAACATACTTATCGTAAAAACAACAGAACCTTTTTTTTGCGTGTTACATCAGTTGGAACAACTTCTGTTCTTCTCGAATAAACCTGCATAAGGCAAATTCACGGACATCCCAAAATATACATATATACACGCATATATATTTTTAAGCGGCTTAAGTGAAGCAAGCAAAACAACCAAAGGCGTACAAGTGTAAAAAATCTTGCTGCACATACTTATATACAAGAACAAGATGAAGAACTTCATTCTCTTGGCCGTTTCGTCCATCCTGTTGGTGGACTTATTCCCCACACACTGCGGGCATAATGTAGATCTCTCCAGGGCCATAAATTTAAATGGAGTAAGCTTCAATAATGTAGACGCCAGTTCACTTGGCGCCGCACAGGTAAGACAAAGTGCTAGCCGAGGCAGAGGACTTGGTGAAAACCCAAAAGACCAGGAAGGAGATGCTAAGGAAAAAAAGAAGGGAAAAAAAGGAGAACCAAAGAATCCAGATGAAAAGAACCTGAAGCAACCAGCAGGGGACGCAGCACCACCAGCAGGGGACGCAGCACCACCAGCAGGGG